ATAATCAAAATTATCATAAACATCATTCAAGAGTTCATCAATTCTATCTTCATTGGCATCATCAGCCGCAACACCATCATCAATATCATTTGAAGTAGTAGTAATATGAGTAGCTTTACGCTTTAGATGACTAGAAGTTGCTCCAGAAAAAAGGTGTTCGACATCCACACGATTCTCACCATGGAATGTCCATGTCATATAGTTTTCTCTAAAACCCTTCTCAAATAAATGCTGAAGAACTATGTTCACGTCATTCTCTCTTTTAAGGTTACGGCACATTGAACAAGGACATAAAATTCCTTTTTGTCCTTGTTGCTTCTGATGCGCAACAGCCACTTTCACAAACTCATGAACACCATTGAAAAATTGAGAAGTATTTCTCAAACCATACATCCAGCTATGATCCATGATTAACAACACTAAACTTTATCTAAAAATAAAAAAATAATAATAAATTATTGCATACTTTTTTTCTTTTTAAGCACAATTTTTATGAAGATTGCAATTGAGGGTTATGCTAATATAAAACAACCTCTTGGAAGTATTTTGCTGCTCATTACAACTATTCCAAAATTATATTACTCAAAATTAATTAAAATAAAAAATATTGAAAAAAAATATTATTAAAAAATATACATACCTTCGGATCGGAGGTTGGAGTAAGCGGACCGGAGGAGCGGCGGAGGTGCGACGTGCGCGCGGCTTACGTGCGGAGGTGCGACGTGCGTGCGGCGGAGGTGCGATGTGCGCGACGGCAACCTCCGAAGATGAGCGGCAGACGGACGACGTCCCACCTTGGCTTCGACGTCCGCAACCAAGGTGAGCGGAGGAGCGCCGGACCGGAGGAGCGGCGGACCGGAGGAGCGACGCTTAGGGTTTCCGCCTGAAAAAATCTATTTCTCTGATCGATCTGCTGCGAGCGACGGCTATGGCCGCATAAACTGGAACAGTTTATGCGGCGCTTTTTACAAAAAGGCGCCGCACGCCCCTTTTAAAAATCCGGTTTTTTTAAAAAATAGTTTATCATCTGCGGCGCTTTTTACAAAAAGGCGCCGCACACCCCTTTTAAAAAATCCGAATTTTTTAAAAAAGTAGTTTATTTTCTGCGGCGCTTTTTACAAAAAGGCGCCGCACGCCCCTTTTAAAAATCCGAATTTTTTTAAAAAGTAATTTATTTTCTGCAGCGCTTTTTAAATATAAGCGCCGCCTAGGAAATCGGAACACGTATGCGGCGCTTTTCTGCATATAGGCGCCGCACGCCTCTTTTAAAAATCCGATTTTCAAAAAAATTAGTTTTTTTTGAATAAAAATTTGACGTCAGTCTGCGGCGCCTTTATAAATAAGCGCCGCAAAGACCCGAAAAATTAAATAATTAAAAAATTAAACACATATTAGAGGCGCTTAAACAGAAAAGCGCCGCACGTCGTATATTTTGAAGGCGCTTGTTTATTAAGCGCCTCAAATGACGTGACGCAATTTAACAAATTTTTACTAGTGGCGAAAGTAGAAAAAAACTAAGATTTGTATACCGAATCATATGTTAAGAGACTTATAACAAAATAAATCTAATTAATAGTACTGAAGATAGTCTCCATGATGAGTTAATATATATCCTATTATGTTAGACATGATTTCAATTGTCTAGTTTACATTATATTAGTCTCATTTGTTTGATTCAAGTATAGTCCATTCAAATGTCATTTTAAATTAGTTTACAAGGTCCGTTTTTGTGAGATATGCAAATGATCAAGGAGTGTTTATAATTATATTCAACTTTGAAATCAAAGTAATGGTTATAACTATTTGATTAGGTCGCAAATACTGTGCCGCGTATCATAATTACTTTGGTCATGTTTTAGGAGAAACTTCTTAATCAATTAAACAAGAAAAAATGGCACCAATATTACTTTCTAACTTCTGTTGGATCAAAATATGATCATTTTCAAAATTTCCCCAAAAGTGACCGACTAGTTGTGTCTCAACCGTCGCCAACAACTGCAGATCTATCACATCTTGACCTGAACACGCTGTTGTGCTACCTTGCTGCCGCGCACCCCTTTGTCCTCTGCTTCAGAGTAGAAGGAAGTGATGAAATCCCTGAAGATTAAACCATAGCTGCAGCAGTGGTGAACGAGAGAAGAAGGGGATGTTTCCGCCGTTGCAATCGTCGAGAATCACATCACTTCTTCATCCCTTTGTTTTTTGAAATTAGATTTTAGAAATTAGATCTGTTATTTGTTTCCGCCACTGCAATCGTCGGGAATCGCATCACTTCTTCATCCCATTTATATATGAAAACAAGTTTTAGAAATTATATTTGAATTTGAAAATGAATTGAGAATCACATCTTGTTTTTAAGGCTTCACATCTTGCTGTTGTTGCTGGAAAATGGTTGGGGTTTTGGGACTGCTTCCGAGACAGGGTGGCCTTGGTGAGGTAGCTGATTTACTTACTGGGGCAGCTATGGTGGTTAGGGAGGCAAGGGTTGTGCTGGGGAGGGGTTGGGGAGGGGGCTGGTTGGCAGGGGAGGGGCTGGGAGGGGTGCTGGTTTGCTAAAGTGACACGGGCGGTGGCTACAGTGACACGGGCGGTGGTTACAATGATACATGTGGTGGTTGTAGTGACACGGACGGTGGCTACAGTGACACATGCGGTAGTTGTAATGACATGGGTGGCGGTTGTAGTTACAAAAAAACGAACACGCAGTGACATAAAATTTTTGCAGTTACATCATGTTTTCTAATTGCACATATATGACCTTCTTGATCACTTTTGTGCCCTTTTTTAAAAGTGATCACTTTTTGGGTAATTGGTTCAAAATTAGTAATATCCAAGTAAAAACCCCATTTAACAATGTCATCATTCATTAATGAGCATAATTATAAAAAAACTTCAATTCTTTTTTTTTGCAAGAGAATAATCTAGCTTTCATTAATTAAATCATTGTTTAGAACAGAAGAAATAAAGAGCGGGTACTCAAAAACCCAAGAACGTAAATCAGTCATAGAACAAACAGCTCTAGCAATCGTATGGGCTGTCTGGTTCGCTGACCGCCCGGTTGAGAGAAAGAAATGCTAGAAAAATTCTTCACTATATCTCTTATGTCATCAACCACCAAACCATACGAAGAACAACCGGATCCCTTCGTAATTTCCAAAATAGCGCGAGCTGCATCTGATTCCACATCGGCCACCATCCGATTCCTCCCCTGTAACCAGCTCAGAGCCTCCCAATTAATTCAGTTTCGTCAAGTATAGTGCTCACTTTTCTTGTTGACGTATTTCACATACCGGTAAAATATGATTTCATAAACGTGAGAGAGGTTCCAATTTCGTTGCTCACATCCACGGGCGGAGATGGGCGAGGGCCAATCTTGACCTTGGTCCAGCCCAAATTTAAAAAATGTCTTAATTTTTAGTGTAAAAAGTTTCGGGCAAAATATTTTCCAATTTTTTTTTTGTATCGACCCAGTCTGACACAGTGTCCTGGCTCCGTCCCTAGACTCACATCCCCATTATTTTCTTATACTTGAAAAAGGACTGAAATGGGAATATTCTCGCATGAGAGAAATCCTACTGAAGTGTGCCAAAAAGCAGTTAGCTTTGCTGAATTCACGCTATAATTGTGCCAATGTAGAAAAGAGAGCTGTCGGAGAGAAACAAATAAAAAGCAATCTCTTTTTTCCTTCTTTTCTTTTTCTCGCAAAAACAAGAAGAAAGAGAGTTAGTTTCACGTGTATAGTCTTTCTACGGATCTCGAGAGCCAAGTATTTACTGTTTATAAATATTTATATATTTACATATGTTATACAAAAATGGAGAGGACACTTAGAAAACACGGATTAAATAAGGATTTTTTATAGAGATTTGTCAAAATTCATAGAGGATTTGGGAGGTATCCAAATCCGTGTCAAAAGTATGTTGACATCACTTATTTGGTAAGAAATCATCGATCAATCTGTGTCAATTCTGTAATTTTTTTTAATGATGATGACTCTCTTTAGCTCGTGCTTGTCCCCCACTACCAACATTAACACTAACCTCACATTAAAAGTGTTATTAAGAGGGTCATCTAATCAATTTTAAATGATCAATTGAGACTCCATAGTATACGTAAAAAAATAACTTGAAATTGATATTATGTTATTGTGAGGTTGTGTTTATGTTTTTTAAAACTAAACACATGTTCATTCAAAAAAACAAAATCTAATAAGTGGGCATATATGGCACAATTTAAATTATGGACAGTACACATTTATATTGTTATATAAAATATACATAATCTTTGTCCCTTTGAATATTGTCAACTTTGTAGTGCGTGTGAAATAATGAAAGTAAGAACTACTCCGTATGTAATTGTGTTTTTTATGCATAGCAAAGAGAATAAATTGAACTACAAATTCATTACTTTAAAACAAAATAATTTTTTGGGATCGAACAAAAAACAAAATTAGACACTATCGATGTGGGAAAAAATGCAATATTTTAATTTGCACGGATCATAGCGGAGGCTATATCCATGTTACTAATAAGCTACGGAGTATATCTCAGGTGAAAAAATATCAGTTATTTTTCAAATGTTACCATAATAAAATTTGTTTACAAAAATATGATTGAAGTTACTAAGGGTATAGTACTATAGTGTCATGATTATTTCAATATAATGTATAAGTTGAACATAAATTGTTATGAATAAAATTACTACAACAATTACTAACTTTAGAAGACACATTTTCGTAAACAATCTTTATTTTAATTTAGATATAAATATATAGTTATTCTAAAAATGGTAAATTAAAGGTAAAGATTTAATGCAAATCACTTACCCATTCACTAACATCTCAATATTGTAGGGGTAAAAAATTTGCTTTGAATAGAAAATTTAATTTTTACATGCAGCACATGATATGACCCATGCACACAATAAATTGAATGTGGAATTGTGTGTGTGCACCTTTGCTTGCTTGCTTTCCTCTTCTTCTCCCTTTTCTAGGCTATAAAGCTAAGGTGATGGGAATGCTCTTTGTCCAGAAATCAGTCCAAGTTCATCCATTTCTTCCCTATGCCATTAAATCTCTCATGACCTCATACATAACTCTGTCTCTATAAATTATTACCTCTTACCCTTTTGAATTGGTTCATTCTTTGATTTATTTACATAAATATATTTATATGTGTATGTATAATAACTTTTGTAGTTATTGCTTCAGATCCCAGAAATGTTAAACTAAAAATATCAATTTCATACTTATAAATTAAAAAAAAAAACTTGTATAATTATGGAGTGGAAAAAGTGTTACTTGGATGTGATTTTGGTTCCTGTGGGGTGTTTGATATGTTTAGGGTATCATGTTTGGCTATGGCACAAGGTTCGGACCCAGCCGCTCACCACCATCATCGGAACTAACGCCGCCGGCCGCCGTTTGTGGGTCTCTGCCATCATGAAGGTACGTACGTAATTAATATTCTAGTTATTTGTCGTTCGGGATTTGTTTGAATTAATTAAGGTATTTTAGTTTTTCTTATTGTAAAATCCAGGGCGTCGTCAAAATGATAAGTTAACAGTATTACACGCAATAATAGTATTACTGTCAAATTATTTAGTTTGGGCGTGTTAGGTTTAGAAAAAAGTTTTTTTTATTGAAATAAAACTTATTAATTACAGTAATATGAATAAAATTATTATGAGTATAAAAATACTTTGTATGCAATAAAATTACTATTCGGGATTTTAGTTATCTGAATATGGAGCTAGAGTACGTAATATATGGGGGGGGGATTCCTAGAATATGAGTATAAATAATGTTAATTTAAATTCTAAATTTTTTACTGCCATATTTTGACATTACTCACTTTACTATGAAAGTATTAAAATCATACGAGTAATATATTTGGCATTATTTTTTACTTAAGTAATGAATAATTTAAGTGAATAAAAACACACTGCTCTTATTTTAGAATTTCATATTGTTTTTTTACAATATTATTTTCATTTAGGGTAGTTTCTTGAATATATACAAAATTATTTTCATTACATTCAGAACTCAATACTATTGATGAACTATTGAAATATCACTGATAATTTCTAGTTTAAAAATGCAATTTTCAGATTTAGAAATGTTTATAGATATTAACTAATAGTCACTACAAAAGCTAATTAAATACGAAGTAATAATGTTAGGTCTTATTATTACATGTTTTAATTTGCTCACACCGTTTAGAGATAAAAACCTATTTGCGAATTTAGTTTTTTTGCACGTAAGAATGATATTAAAAGGAAAATTGATCCGGACAAAATTTGAAGAAAAAGGAATGAAGTAAAAAGAAAAATAATTAAGTATTAAAAAAATGAAGTAGTACGTATTGGTCTTCCATCCTACTCAAAAGTGCAAATTTTATGTTGAGTTTAGAATTAAAAAAAAAAGTAAGAATTAGTTGGATGCCGTTTGTGCAGAGGAAGATAAATGAGCAGAATCATAAATTCATTGCTTCAAAAGGGAAGTGACACAATTTTTAAGACAAATAAAAAAGAAAAGTTAGCAAAATCCCGTGGAACGGAGAGAGTAATATAATATAATCCGAATCTAGCTAGTATATACGTAGTAGTTCATTTGTTCTTAAAGAAGTGCATCAGTCCATTTTTCATGTTTGTCAAGCACAACTTTCATCATTAGTATATATTCTTCTTTATTAGTAAAAAAAATAAGAATGATTTTGAAAATTGACCATGAGACCAATTTAACAGTATTTTTTAAATTAATTTATTAAATGCATAAATAAATAGAGAGTTGTCAAAGTAAAACACATGAATAGTTACTACAATGTAGTGTCATGGTCACTTACGTTTAAAAATTGAACACAAGTTACTATGATTATTTCATTACTACTCTAGTCATTAGTCATATTTTTGTAAATAGTCTTTAATTTAATCATAAATGTGTAATTATTTCAATAATTTTTATAATATAAAATTACAATGATATGAAAATGTTATTTATTAGAAATACTTTCATTATCAAATTAAAGTACTCTGTATAAAATTAATAACTTTCAAAAAATATAATAATAAAAAAACATTTGTCAAAGTTTACCACCATTGACTTAATTAAAAAGTCAAATATCTCAATTTTTTAAGAGATGAAGGGCGTATAATTTATTAGAAATTTTCAATTATAGTCCTAAACCTTTCTAGTGTATCTGCAATTAGTCTTGTAACTATGGTCTCTAACGGATTTAATCCCCTGACTAACGGATTTAGACCTTTTCATCTGAAAGCACAATTTCGGGAAAAAGCTATTCCCTCCGTCCCAATAAAAGATTCCAATTACGATTTACGACGATGCTTGACTGACGATAAAACAACCTAATCTTTGTTCACACTTTAATTAATTTTGGTAAATAAAATTTACATATTCGGAAACTACATTAAACTGCTACAAAGTCTGATAAAAAATGTAAATTTGATAAAAATTTGATATATAAAGCAAAAGATTAAGAATGATTTAAGTTGACCATGTGAATAGTGGACTGGAATCTTTTAATGGGACGGAGGGAGTACAAGAGAAGAAGAAAATTCTACCGGAAATTACGGTATACTTTCGGGTGGAAAATCCTCAATAAGGACAATTTTATTAATTACAAGATCAAATTTACATGTGACTAAAGTTATAGATCAATTATAATAGGATAAAATATTATAATTGCAAATACCCCTATAATTTATTTACTGCTTAGTTAGCAAATTTACTAAATTCAGTAACTTTATCACATTTAGAGCTTGTTTGGTAACCTTTGTTTTCAGCTTATTAGTTTTATTAATCAACATTTCTAATAAACACATAACTTTTGATTTCACGCGTTGGATCGCATAATAATCAAAATAAGTAAGGCTAGGCTTACTGTTGAAATATTTGTCCCACACTAGAAAACTATAAAACAATAAAACACTATATAAGACTTTGGGCTACTCCTCCTATCAGGGTTGACCTTTTAGGATGGAACCCCAAGTCTTAACATGGTATCAGAACCAAGTTCGGTTGTGGTTTGACTGCTTGTTTATCACCCATGATTAATGGTAGCTTGTTAAGGGTCTGTTTGACCCACTTATACACCCCGATATTGTCCAACCCGGTTCGAACTGAGGGGACGTGTTGAAATATTTGTCCCACACAGGAAAGACGGAAAGCTATAAAACAATAAAACACTAGTATGTTTGGCACAACTAGATGAAAAGATACTTTATGAGCTTTTTAGTAACTGTTAGGTTTTAGTGACTGAAAAGATCTTAAAAAGAAAAGGTAGTAGTTGTTTAGTAAAAAGATGATTGTTTGATTTAGCTCCGTTTAGTATACAAGCTGTTAGGACTAATTAATGCTAGAAGCTACAGACTTATCTGAGATGCTACTCACCGTAGCATCTCAAAAAAGATCTTTTATTTTTATAAAAGCTCTTAAAAATTGATGTGCCAAACATACAACTAGAAGCTTTTAAAGACTTTTTAAATGGTACAAAAGCTAGAAGGCAGAAACTTATGCCCGCCAAACATAGCATATATAAGGCTTTGAGCTACTCCTCCTATCAGGGTTGACCTTTTAGTATGGAATCCCAAGTCTTAACACTTACGTTTACAGTTGAAATGATTGAGGTTACTATAAACTTTAGCTATTTTTCATATACTTTTTCATAATTTTATCAAAAAAATAGGGGTATTTTGAGTTTGCACCTCATTTTATTGTTGAAATTTGACTTTGCACCCCGTTTTTGAAATCTTAAGTATTTGCACCCCAACCCCGTATGAAAAGACTAAAATGCTCCTCAATTAACAATTTTGTTGGCCTTCAACATAATCCTGATCGAGGGGCATTTTTGTCTTTTCATACGAGGTTGGGGTGCAAATACTAATGCTTTCAAAAACAGGGTGCAAAGTCTAATTTGGATAATAAAATGGGGTGCAAACTCAAATTATCCCCAAAAAATACTACCTCCATCCCTTTATCGAAGATGATAAACTTTGATCCATTATTTTAAGTAATATATTTATGTGAAAATAAATTTATACTTTTATGATAGTGTTAACAAAGAACATTTTCATATCATTTTCATATCAGTATTATTTTGTATAATTATATGATCGGTCAAGGTTTAACATGATTGAATTGAAAAATAGTGTTTGGCAAATATGTAGTTACATAAAAAATTGTGTATATAAAAAATTGTGTATATAAAAAATGTACTACTTAAAATTGTGTATATAAAAAATTTATTGTATTATGTATTTATACATGTGAGTTACATATTTTTATACGTGAAGTTACATATTTTTACACGTAAAGTTACATATTTCTACACGCAAGTTACATATATATACACATAAGTTGCATATGAATTGCAGGGAGATGATAGGTTTGTGAAATAGAAGATCGAATTTGTTTGGGAGTGGATCAGTGACCTCAGTTACATTGAGTTACATCTTTTTATGAGCGAGTTACATCTTTTTATAAGCAAGTTACATATTTATACACGCGAGTTACATATTTATACACACGAGTTACATTTGACCTGTCTGAACGCGAGTTACATATTTTTACACGTAAAGTTACATATTTTTACACATAGAGTTACATATTTATACACACGAGTTGCATTTGGCCTGACTAGACGTGAGTTACATATTTTTACACGTAAAATTACATATTTTACATAGGTTAATATAATAGTTCGACAATATGTTAAAATTACATAGGCAATATTGATCTCATTTGAAAGATCATGAAAAATAAAAAATGTTGATATAAATTTTATAAAAATCGGATCAAAAATTAAAAAGTTATTACCATTTTTAAAAAAAGTTTTGAAGGTGGGTGTAGGGTGCTCATGCTGGGACGGTCGTAGGGTATACGAACTCCGGATTTCGATAGTTACAAAGCACGTATAGACTAAATATCTATCAGCCCGGTTCAAATCAGAATAGAGTAGACCCGACTTAAACTGGCCAGACTTAAACAAAACAGATCGGACCAAACTAGATAATTTCAGTCCAATTAAATATATCCTTAACTGGTTTCAGGTCTCATGCCAACCATATATACCCGACTTGAACAATAATGAAACACATACAATTGAAAGCATTCCATATATTTTTATATGACTTTTTATATAGTAATCTTAATACCTTGTAATTCAAAGACATATGAATGTGACTATGTAAAGCAACTGTTGACGGATTCATTAAGAAAGTGTTTGCAAAAAAATGAAAGTGACAACTTCTACTTAAATTAAGCACTTAAAGACTTATTTATCAAACACTGCTGACTTTTACTTTTTTCTCAAATACGCCTAACTTTTACTATTAAACAATTTCTTGAAAATCACTTTAAAATCACTTTTTAAACTAGAAGCAACCACAAGCACTTTCTAAATGTCATAACGTTGTTTAAAACACCAATTAACCTGTATATATCACGAAGTATATATTCAATATAACTTGTAGCTATTATCATGATATTCTAAGTTTTGACATTCTTTTTAGATCGAGCCCGTTTAGTAATATTTGAAATTGACAAAATATGCTAAATTATACTCCCTCCGTCCCGGTCACTTCTTCCAGCTTTCCTTTTTGGACCGTCCCAATTATTTCTTCCAATTTCTACTTTTGGAAAAAATATGTGGTTCACATTCATTCACTTTTTTCTTACACAGCTACAACCATACATTTCCACTTTATTCCCACTATCTAAATTTGCGAGCCAAGTCAAAACCGGAAGAAATGACCGGGACGGAGGGAGTACTACGTATGGAATTATAGCTAAAATAATTATATTCGACAAATTTTGACAATTCATCCTTAAGGGCAACTTTAAACTTATTTGTATTGATCATAATATGATTTCGCGCGTAAAATCAAAATTGGCGTGCACAATAAAAAAGTTGATTGAAATGATAATAAATTAATAAGCTAGATCTAAGACTAACCAAACAGGCTCTTTGAAACTAAAAGTGACGTGATCGTGTTGTTTGAGTTGGAAAATTTCACAAATTTGGCTGACAATTATTTGAGAAGGATTGAGTATAAAAATGGAAAACTAGAAACCAAAAATAAGGGAAACTTTCAATCACGAAAGCATGCGGTTAACATCCCATTTCAGACGGAACAAAGAACAATAGGGACTTTAATATTAAAGTGCGTCTATATTTGTAGCCTATATATAAAAGTATTACTATACGTAAGCTAGCAAAGTTTGTAACATTAGGTAGGGATTATGTTGGTTCCTTGCTTATCCAATCCCAACTCATCAATAAGACAATAGCAACTTTACTTTTGGTCAAAATACTAAATAGGGATTATCAGAATAATGCTTGTATTTAATTATGTATTCCTTGGACATAAACAACAACTTGGGTTTGAGGGAACTAAGAATATTGCCTAGAATATATGTGTGAAATTGGGGTCTCGCCCTTCTCTGACTTTTTTTGGATGGAATGTAAGTATATAATTCTCTCTCTGATTTTGGAAGGCAAGGAGAGTGTCGGGTCATTTTTAACCCGATCAAAAAAATCAATAGCAAATCAAAGGTGAAGGGTTCACTGTTTGCAGGATATCGATACATGAGTTTTAATCTCTACCTTTCATTTGAATAAATCTTAACATCTACCCTCCATTTGAGTAAGACACTTTGTCCTAAGATAGATAATCTCAATCCATGAAATTGATAATTTTTGTTCTGACAAAACTTTATCGAGTATTTTTCATGTATGATGTGATAATAAAACTCTTACTAGTATTATTTATTGGAAAAAGGTTTAAAAGGAGATGTAGAATTGTGGAATGCAATTGCTTCCTCATCCATTAAATATTGATTTAAGAAACAATGAATAATCTTAAATTACAATTTAATCAAATATTAAAAACAATACATTTATAACATCATCGTTATCAATACGAACATCATTATATTACATACCTATTAAAATATTTCTCTAAATATACTTGAATTATCTTATTTAATTAATTTTTGTCTAAATACATATACCGTTTTGTCGTGAAAACCTTTCAAATGTAGTATTTAATTTAATTTTCATATGATGATGAAGCTAATTAAGAAAGAATGCAGGATAATGACAAGAAAAACATATTGGCCGTTCAGACACTCCGGAACACAATAATGGGGTCCACCCTGATGGCGACCACCTCCATCCTCCTCTCCAGCGGCCTAGCCGCCGTCATAAGCAGCACTTACAGCGTCAAAAAGCCGCTGAACGACGCCGTGTACGGCGCCCACGGGGAGTTCATGGTGGCGCTGAAATACGTGACCCTGCTCCTCATATTCATCTTCGCTTTCGTTAGCCACTCCCTGTCCATCCGGTTCGTGAACCAAGTGAACTTCTTGATAAACTGCCCGCCGGACGACGCCGGAATAGTGTGCCCGGAGTACGTGTCGCAGCTGCTGGAGAAGGGGTTTGCGCTGAACACGGTGGGGAATAGGCTGTTCTACGCCGCACTTCCGATGATGCTTTGGATATTCGGGCCGGTTCTTGTTTTTTTGTCTTATCTCACAATGGTGCCTCTCCTTTACAACCTTGACTTTCTTTTGACCAATGCTCATAAAGGGAATAGTAATAATGTCCCCATTTCCTTGTAATAATATTTAGATATATCTTCCCATTTGAAAAGTAGGTGAGATTAAGAATAATGAATGAGATATAAATTATTGAGGGTATGATGTGAAAATAATGAAATAGTGTGTTGGAATGAAGGATAAATCCAAAAAAAGTAGTTGTAATAGTGTATTATTTTTAAAATTATTGAGAGTATGATATGAATATTTACAAATGGGAAGATATGAATGTTATAGCTAAAAAGGGAAAGTGAGAAGATATGAGTGTTACGAGGCAGTATAGTATATAATTATGAGTTATTTATAACTTACATCACTACCGTTTAGGTAAGATGCAAACATACCCGCACGGGTAGCTCAGTTGGTCGAGTGGTGGGAGATTTGGAACAATGGACCAATGTTCGAATCCCCGCAGCGACCGGGTTGAGGTCACAGAACCTGAAATAAGGCTGGACCTCTGGTGCGCACAGGTGTATAGGCCTACTGCCATTCTGCTGACTGAGTCACCGCGACTAACCGCCTCACCATCCTGTCGGATCTGGGTGAGGGCTCTTGGGATGGGAGATTCCACTTTTGGAACAACAAAGGTAAGACGCAAACATGGTATTTTGTCTTCTAGTCATCGTCGTATTTCACTATTTTGTTAATTAAAAATGTTTTAACTCCTATTCTGTCCATTTTACTTCTGTTATTTTCCTTTTTCCGTATCCAAGATAAGTGTTAAAATTTCTACTTTGGAAAGTAATATGTGAACTACAATATTTCATTTTATTATACTTAAATGTGTCAAATCAAAGTAGAACAAATAAAATAGGATAGAGTTATATGTGATTATAATATAATACTACATACATCCCATTTTGTTGATATGTTTGGCTCAACTAGTTGAAAAAGATGTTTTTGTAAGTTTTTTACTCTTTGCTTTTAATGAGTGAAAAGATTTTAAAGGAAAAGGTTGTACCACCTGTTTGATAAAAGTTGACTATTTGATTTAGTTTTATTTGGAATAACAAGTTATAATAACTAATTAATGTTAAAAGCTAAAGACTTTCTCTCATATGCTACCTGCTATAACTTTTCAAAAAAAGATCTTTTATTTTTAGAGAAACTCATAAAAACTGTCATGTCAAACATATAACTAGAAGTTTTTAGAGACTTTTTTAATAATACAACAGTTAGAAGGCAGAAGCTTATGCCAACCAAACATGCACTATGTGTCTCGTTTGACTTTGACACAATTATTAATAAAGTGGTTGAAAAGGTAAAAGTTGTTATTGAGATTTGAGAATAATAAAGTGAAATGTCGTGGACCATATATTTCTTTTCAAAAAGAGAAACGTGACACTTATTTTGATACAATATAAAAAAGATAGTAAGACACGAAAAATGGGACCGATGGAGTGTATGGTAACATATCTTGTAATCTTCGTGAATTTTATCTTCATGTTATGTTTTTTGACAGCATCTTTTTTTCACATCATTAAAATTTGGACAATGATTTTTTTTTGAATGACATTTGATTATCTTTTTCTTATTATAAGGGCGTATTCCACGAGATGCAACAAAATAATTACCATTAGTCTTGTATAGTGTAAAAAATCCTTATGCTTACCTAATTTCGAAAGGAAAAAGATTGTATAGTTTTAAAAAATTCTTATGCTTACGTAATTACAAAAGAAAAAAGATTGGTCAGAACTTACGCTTTTAGGAAAAAAAGGATGACATCCCATATATGAGGGCCCCCCAATCCCGACCGGACGCTACATTGGAGGATGTAAATTGGATTATAATCCCAATCTGATAGATATATAATGGAACTCTGTCGGCGATATTTGTAGAAGCCCCATCCGTGAGGGCCCCCAACTTAGGCTTTTAGATGTACTAGCTATGTTCACACATTGTGCGAAGAGTGTGTGCCCAACAAAATAGAAGGGATTATAGTGATCAAATGGAGTGATTCTCTTTTCACCTTTATTTTAAAAGGAGTCTTTCAACAAATTCAAAATCAGCCCCGTGATTCATCCAAAACTACCTGGCTATGAAAAAGTTTGCTTAGATTGAAAGATCTAATTTTTATTAAACAATAATATTAAGATTTCACGAATTCTCTAGAATTCAAACAAATTGAATACTAATTACATACGCCCTCCGTATTCTAATGTTTGCTACACTTTTCTTTTTTGGATGCATTCGATCAAAAATTTGCAACATTTTTCGTTTTTTAAGTTTTTCCTTTAAAAATACACAATTACTCTTATTTTTTCTACTTTTGATCTTCTCTTTCATATTTTTCTATCATCTCTCCTACTTTTTATACACTATTCATTACCCCTACTATTTTACTCTTAAAAAAAGTGTCAACACCTATTGTAGTAAACAAAAATATATGGAGGGAGTAAATTATTACTCTTGGACGTTTGACTATAGACATATTATCCGAAATAGGACTAAAACAGTTTGAAAATTTCAAAATATGACTGTCATGTTTTTTATTCTCATTTCCCAAAATAGGACTAATTACTGACATGTTTAGAAAATACTGTCATGTTTGAAGTCTGGTACTGCCAAAACATGACAGTAATTAGTCCTATTTTAGGAATAAAAACATGACAGTCCTATTTTGAAATTTTCAAATTGTTTTAGTCCTATTTCTGAAACTTTCCCTTGAATATATAGTCGATAGTCAATATATATATATATATATATATATATATATATATATATATATATATATATATATATATATATATATATATATATATCCTGTTTCTACCCAGAGTGTCTACTCCTCTTTTTTGTGCTCATGACTTCTCTCCCCTCCCAAAGAAAAGCAAGTAATAGAGGAGCAATCATCTTCTTTAATAGAGTAATTAATACTCATTAATTAGGTTTCCATATTTATTATGTTTCCTATTGTATTAATGACTCTTTATTATATATATGACATCTAGGGCTACCAATTGGGTAAGCCATTTCATTATTTTCACATGGTATCAAGAGTTATAGGTTTTAGCCACAACTAATTTTTTTTCCCGGACCTATGGCTTCCTCCGGCTCTCCCACCGCCGCCGCACAACCAGTCACCACCGCCGAATCGGCTGTGACTGTAACTCTGCCGAGCGCGATGGAAACTGCTTCGCCGACGGCGGCGCTCTCCTCCACGGATGACCCGCTCCGATCGCAGCCATACTCGATGTTCTCTTCCACAGTTCCGGCAGCGTCGTGGGTCCCTCCCATCTTTACTTGGACTCCGTCAGCGCCGACTTTCCGCCCCATGGTTCAGCCGCAACGCTCGCCGCCTCCAGATGTTCCGCACCACACCGCCAGCACCTCCGGCGTCCCTCGGTTCGCAGGGCCAACGTTGTCAGGCAGTCCGGGTCTCCATCTGCCTTCGGTTGGAACCATTGGTCAACAACCCACTCCTATGCCTACATCATATGCATCGCTTACTCAAGGTATGACATTTGGAGGTTCCGTTACACAGATCACGACCTCCAAATTAGTGGCTATTGAAGATTGTAAGAAATCAATTGCTTCTCCTTCAGCAAATTATTCGTTACCTCGGTATTCCTTCACATTGGTTTTTTTTGGGATTATTCAGTTTTGATATATATAGATACATGTAAATATAAATTAATAACTCTAAAACGGCCAGCAAAATCAAGTCTTTAAAAACAACGAGCTGTTTCTATGATTTCATCATTGTTTTGGTTTAATCCAAAAACACACATGTAGGGAGAGTTTGGATTAAATAAAGGTGACAACTCCGGTATCCATTTAAAAAATGGTGTACCCTACCTACCACTTACTTGATTGGTTCAAATTATTACATCATTTTTAATTTAAATTTAAATAATTCAACTACATTATTCTGATTGGTCCATGTGAACAAAGGTATGGTACCTTAAGGGTACCATAGAATCTACCTTAAATAAAAAGGGACTTATCACGTGAAATCCTTCGCACCCACTTTTACGTGCATTTTATGTGCATTGTAATGCATTGTTTGACGTTTAATCTAAACTCCGTTTTTTACAAAAATGCCAACGTGTGCTTGATTTAAAATGTGGTGGCGTTTTTGTAGATAAACGAGTTTTGGTGAAAACGTCAAAAAGTATATTGCACTACACACAGAGGCGGACCCACTAAGGGTCCCACGGGGTCCCGGGACCCCGTGCACATCGGAAAAAATACCTATATATATCATATACGAAGTTGTTGGGATATTGACCTAGAGGCCCAATACCCGGATCAAGAAGGCCCAAGATATCCGGCCCAAGCAATGGGCCCATCACTCTATGATGAATAGATCCAGTAAAGAATTCATGCCGAACGAGATTCGGCCCAAATAAAGGTTGGCCCAGTAAGAAGACATACCGAACGGAGTTCGGGCTATATATCATACTTGGGCCAATTTGACAGCGTCTTCAGCATAGTCCAACATCCCGTTCGTGCAACGGACAACCGGCAAGTGGCCAGGTGCAATTAATGCCAGATTATGACATCAGCAAGTGGAAACATGGGTGACCAAGTCGGTGGAGCAACAGCCAATCAGCACAGGGCAGTCCATGCTCTCCTTTAGTATAAATAAAAGGTTTAAAATCATTGTTAGGGTTAGCATTTCAATACTCAGGCTCTAGAATAGCATCATTGCTCTTATTTCTTGTATTAAAGTATTGTTTCCGACCTACCGATCGGGAAATTCCTTGTAATCAGACTGGTTAGTTAATACAAGTGAGCTTTCGAGTATTAGTGAGTTCATATCTTATATTTTGTTTATACACTTTGATTCTGTGTCATTCCTGATATATCCAAAGTTCGTGTTGGGCTTTCGGATCTACGGGATTTACCCTCAACATTGGCGCCGTCTGTGGGAAACTTACAAAAAGTTTCACATTCAAATCATCCAAAAAACCACTATTTTCAAGAATGGTCAGAATCAGTTCCTATCATACAAACGACGGTTTACGCCGTCACGGAAGGAGTCACACCCCGGGGAGTCAAAACCCTCAGGGACAATCCAGCCGAGGATCGTATCCTCGTTTTGATGAGGATTTTGTGATTCCCAAATCTCTGGGAAGAAATCCTCAGGCCATGCGAGACATGGCCCAGGTCATGCAGCATATGGCGAACGAGGAGGAAGGAGGGTCCAACTTTACCGGGGAGACTCCACGCACTGAAACAACCACAACGTCATCCCGTTCGCATGCCCATCGGGATAATCGACGTAGCGCCCCACCAACAGCACACCATAGTCC